TTTGTTTTTAGAACTTTTTTCTTTATTTTGGTTTTGTGAAATATGTGCAGAATTCAATATTTCAGAGGTTGTCTTTTTTACTTTGTATATTTTCCAGAGATTAGCTAGTGAGTGATTTGAGATCATTAGAACCCTTTCAGGCTGGAGTACTGGTATGGATTTTATCTAGAGGAAGCTCACAATAAAACTAAAAGTGATATTATACCTACTGGAATGGCTAAAATAGTTATAATAACCAAACACTGTAAGTATGTGGCGAAAACTGGAGATCTCACACATTGCTGGTAGAGTGTAAAATGCTACAAGACATGCTGAAAGCTACTTTGCCTTTTTTTTAAACAAAGCTAAACATACTCTCAGCATACAATCCAGTAGTTATACTCAGGCATTTATTCCAGACAGATGAAAACACATATTCATACAAAAACCTGTACATGAATGCACATAGCAGCTTTATTTTTAATCACAAAGTACTGAAAACAACCCAAATAATCCTTCAGTGGGTGAAGAGTTAGATAAATTTTGGTATATCCAAACAATGGAATACTACTCAGCAATAAAAAAGGATGAACTATTAATACATGCAGCAACTTGGATGGACCTCAAGAGGATTATACTCAGGGAAAAAAAAAAGTCAAGCGCAAAACATTAGCTGCTGTATAATTCCCTTTATATGACATTCTTGAAATAACAAAATTTTAGAGATGAAAAATAGTGACTGCCAGGAGACAGGTATGGGATGGAGGGAGCACAAGTTCTTTTGTGATGATACAACAGTTTGTATGTTGATTGTGGTGGTGGTAACACAAATCTATACATGATATTAAATTGACTAGAACTGTGTACACACACATACACACCCACAAAAGCGTGCAGGTTTAAAAACCATAAAATCTGACCCGGCACAATGGTTCACTTGTAATCTCAGCACATTGGGAGGCCGAGATGGGAGGATCTTTGAAACCAAGAGTTGGAGACCAGCATGAGCAACATAGTGAGACCCCACCACTACAAAAAAAAAACTTTAAAAACATTAGCGGGGTATAGTGTTACGTGCCTGTAGTCACAGTTACTTGGGCGGCTAAGGCGGGAGGACAGTTGAACCTAAGATTTCTTTTTTTTTTTTTTGAGTTGGAGTCCCACTCTGTCACCCAGACTGGAGTGGAGTGCAGTGGCTGCTCCCAGCCCCTGCAGCCTAGACCCGCTGGGCTTCTGCGATCCTTCCGCCTCAGCCTTTCAAGTAGCTGGAACTACAGGTGCGCGCTACCACGCCCGGCTAATTTTTTTATTTATTGTAAAGATGAGTTCTTGCCAAGTTGCCCAGGCGGGTCTCAAACCCGCAGGCTCAGGCAGTCCACTCACCTCAGCCTCCCAAAGTGTGAAATTACAGGCTGAGCCACTGAGCCCAGCCAAACCTAGGATTTCAAGGCTGCAATGAACCATTCATGCCACTGCACTCTAGCCTGGGCAACAGAGGCAGACTTTTGTCTTTATAAGCAAACAAACAAATAAATAAATAAATAAATAAATAAATAAATAAATAAATAAATAAATAAATAAAATCTGAATAAGTTCTGTAAACTAGTTAACAACAAGGTTTTATTGTCAGTTTCCTCATCATAACATTATGCCACAGCTATGTCACTAATGAGGGAACGGTATATAGGATGGTATTATTTCTTAAACTTTTTTTGTGAGTCTTATATTAATTTCAAAATAAAAAGATTTGTTTAAAAGTAGCTATAGCACAATTATAAAAACACTATTAAAAATAGGAACATCTCTTCACACAATTGGCATTTAAAACAACCTTCTTTTCAGAGGCTTACTTTGAAACGTCTTCAGTGTGAAGTGATGATTTTTTTAAATTTTAATTCAAACATGCAGTTGTGTAAGCTTAAAAAAAAGTGGCTAGTGAACATGAAAGCTTCAACTCTGATCCCCTGTGCTCCATTTTCCTCTTCTTCAAATGCCCTTTATTTGACCAGGAAGGATGTCATTTCCAAAAGTACTCAGAGACCCATATTCAACTTGAACAACATTGTTCCTTCAGATTATTAAGGCTGTTCAATTTTCTCTGTTGGTTGCTACCCTGAGTTGGAGACTCTTTTGAAATGTCAGACTGAGAAAATTGTGCTGGTTCCAACACAATAAAAAGAAGAAAAGCTTTGAAATTAATGCAATCAATAGCCTTTGAAAACAAAGTTTAAAAGCAACAATTGAATGCTAAGATGTATAAAACCATCCTGTTCCTTTTTTTTTTTCTTTTTTGAATATCAATGTGGCCAAGAAATTGGGAAACACAATAGAGAATTTGATTCAAAAAGCACTTAACAAGTATCTAAATCACCGTCATAATACCGTCTATGATGTGCACATCACACATCATGCCGAGTGGTGAAGGTTATCATGATGAAAATGGCCCATGCTGTCCAAGAGATCTCCAACTTGTACCTCCAGTATTGACAAACACTTCAAGTTTCACACTGAGTGGAAGAAGCAACGCATCATATAACACCCATGGTGGGAAAACCAAAAACCCAACAGAGTCAAAGGTGGAAATAGCTTGGTCAGCACAAGGGAAGATAGGACAGGTTATGAAGAAAAGTGTCCTAGTCAGGCAAGAAATCACAAGTCTATGGCAAATAAAATCTTATGGCAAAGGCTTGCATGATTGAAATCCAAATAAGGAAAATGTATAAGAATTTGAAATTTCACATTCATATTCATGGGGCATACAAAATTATTTTCTCTGGTATTTTATTTTTTGTGAATGGCTTGGGACACATGGGAATAAAGGAACAATTTTAAACAGTGCTGCTCAATTATAGGTAAAATTTGGCATTGCCAGTGAAATAGTCTATCTGCAGAAGATGATGTAATATCACTTATATGTTCTCAAAAGAAAAGCCACCAGACTCCTCATCTTTGAACGCAATTTTTTGTTTTTGTTTTGCTGTTGGAAAATGAGGTTTAGAATTTCAGGATAGCAAACCACTCTCTAAATAACTTTATAAAGAAAAGCCAATTATATTTTACTTCATTTATTTGACTTAGAGTACATGATACACTAACTTTCCATTGTTGATTCTGTTTTATTTAAGCCAACTTTAAGTCACCTGGAAAAGTAAAAATAAAAAATGATATTACTTTGGAATAAAAAAATTTTAAAGATATTACTTTGGCATAAAAATTAAATTGGATTAATGGATGAATAGAAAGTTGGATGGATATGTGAAAAAGCAATTGTAGAAAAATTATAGAATCTAGGAGTGGGGATATGACTGTGCGCTATAAAACTCTTTAAACTTTTTTGTACATTTGAAAATTTTCATACAATTTTGGAAAGAAAATGCAAAATATTCAAAAGGACAACTAGGAATGTTGATTGATACCTAAATAAATAAGCAGCTTTTTTTTTTTTTTTAAACAGCTTCATTTTAAAAAATCACATTTTAGGGACTTTTGTCAGTGTGCAAGATCAAATTAAGAATATGTTACAGAATTCAAAGGCTTACACTAAAAATCTCAAGTTTGAGTCTAGCTAAAAGATAGAATCACAGAGGAATAGCTATTGTAATCGAAAGTATCTGTTTCTGTGGAATGCTTCTTATTGTTCCACCATTACATTTGTGTTATGCCTTGAAAGCCCCTTAATGTTCTTGTGAGGTAGATGTTACCTGTAAGCCCAAGTCTATCTAATAAGTCCACAAGTCTCAAAGAAGGCCAAATGATATAGTCATATTTTATTCTCAGATCTAGACACAAGGACAGAAACATAGAGCTTTTTGACTAAAACATCAAAGTCATATGGAATCAACCAAATAAATATGACCATAATTTTAAGTATAGTCATGAAAAAGAACTTTCTGTATTTATTTTCTAATTTTGTTCTATATTGTTTTAAATATACTTTCCTCTGGAAGTCAAATTAGAATTTTTAATGAGTCTAAAATAGTCCTTATTGGTTTGGAATTGATTGACTTAGGAATACTGCTTTTCTGATTCTCAGCAAATAGCACTTCATTGTCAGTTGATTGGTAACTCCTCTGAATTACTGCAAGAATTTCTTCTCATATTTGACACTGGTTCCTCGAAATTGTCCACGAATTTTCCGGATGTACTAATCTGAGGACACCTGAAGGTGGTACCTTAGCAGTTCCATTGCGTCTAAGCAGGCCTGGAGCTTGGCAATCAGACAAGTGGATATTGATCCTTAAAAAAAAAGCCGGGCTCGGTGGCTCAGCCTGTAATCCCACGCCTTTGGGAGGCTGAGGTGAGTGGATTGACTAAGCCTGTGGGTTCGAGACCCACCTGGGCAGCGAGACCTCATCTCTACAATAAATCAAAAAATCAGCTGGGCGTGGTAGCGCACGCCTGTAATTCCGGCTACTCGGAAGGCTGAGGCGGAAGGATCGCCAGAGCCCAGCAGGTTGAGGCTGCAGTGGCCGGGAACGGCCACTGCACTCCAGTCTGGGCGACAGAGTGAGACTCCAACTCAAAAAAATAAAAATAAAAATAAAAATAAAGAGTATACCCAAAAGAAATATGTCGGCCAACCTCCTTTAGAAACAGGGTCAAGTTGGAAAATTTTCCAAAGGTGTCACATTAAACTTTAATAATACCTACAATTTCATGAGGCTTTTAACTTTGCATATTGCTTTCCCAGGCATTATCTCATTTCATGTTCTATTGCCAGTGTCTAGGTGTTTAGGCTGGATTACAATGACATAGGTATCAAAATGTTGACAGGGACATTTCAAATTGATTATTACTATGCTGAGCAGAAGTATTTCACAGGAATTAACTGGCTTCAAGATTAAGAATTAAAAAGAATTCAGATTCGGATAGGTCTCTTATGCCTCTGCTCTGTGGCTTGATGTTGATCAAAGCCCTTTCACTTTTTTAATTTTTATTTTTTAAGGAGAAAATGCCTGCCTTTTTTTCCCTCCCCTTCATCCTTCTGATTTCTGATTTTCTTTTTCTTAATGAATCCACAGGTGAGCCCAACCCCAGGGTGCATCCGGGCTCTCATGAAGATGCTGTACTGCCCATACTGTCGAGGCCTTCCCACGGTGAGACCCTGCAACAACTACTGCCTTAATGTCATGAAGGGCTGCTTGGCAAATCAGGCTGATCTCGACACGGAGTGGAATCTATTTATAGGTAAGATGCGTTGAAACAGATCGGAGAACAGAGACGCGAGAGCTGCAAGTGTTTAGAGTTTGATGGGCGAGTCAGAAATTGTGATGACTTACAGAAACTAGGGCGAGTTTTAAAACCAGCTTTTAGCAAATTATAAACAAACATTTTTCTTCTGTTTTTATCCTGAAAACTAAGACTTTCTGGGATATCGTATGGGCTAGTCGTAAAGATTGTGCAGGCCAGCTGTACTAAATTAGTTGATTTCTCTGATGAAGATAAATGCAATCTTGTTGAGTTTCAGTGAACTCCCATGAGAAGGGACAAGTTAGAAAAGAATCTTGTAAAATTAAAAAAAAGAATCCACAGTGCTGTCTCTTTTTTACCTGTATTACTTTGGCATAGTCACAGGTATTATTAAACAACTTTTTTCTTAAACTTCTAAGATAAAAATATTTGGCTAAAATATGCACATCCTCTATCTCATGCACACAAGCAAGAAACAGCCTCCAGTCTTTAGAAGGTGGGAGGAAGGGAGGCGTGAAGGCTGTAGGGAAGAATCATGAATCATGGCTGTGTTCTTGGGTTGCAGAAATCATTTCGGGGATTGTGTTGCCCAAAGATATTTCCCATATTGCTATCCAAGGATAAAAGGACACATTTTATAGTCAGGCTTCTCCCAGGAAAATACACAGGCCTTGAAAGAGTAAATGTGTTTTCTCCCCCTCTGTCAAATGGCCTTCAAATAAAAGTACTTTCAACTGCATTTACTGCAATTACATAGTGACAAGCAGAGTGGTGAAAATAGAAGTGGCGTTTGTCAGCCTCTGAGGGCCCTCATCATTTATGCAAACCTCTACCCCAGAAAGTGTTCTGACATCTCAGATTTGGGAAAGATAGGAAAAAGATGTGTTGAATGTGTTGGAATTCAGAAAAGCCCAGGCTGAAGAAGAAGAGTTTGGGTGACGAGTATTCCGTTCTGACAGTGAAACCCATTGGCTTATTCACTATTTTGCATAGGAAGGCCAGAGGAAATAGTTTTGGAATTAAAAAAAAAGAAAAGATTTTGCAGTGGGCAGATTCAAATGGAAGTTATCTAACAAAAATCTCAGAATCTTTTTTAGAAAGAATAAATTGAAATGCAGTTATCTCTCCCTTCAGTGGGAGGACAAAATCGGTTTGTGGGAATGAGTTACTTTATTTGGAAAATGAAGGAGTTTTTTTTTTAAGTTAATCATTAAGTCATCTTCTAAACAAAAATGACATGATTCTTTACTATAATTTTTCTACTTTGCTAAGATTTTGGAGGCGGTGTGGAAGATATAAGATTTAGATTTTTCAGCAAAGACAAGATACCCAAATACTGATAATAAAAAGGAACTCTCATCAAGATATCTAAAAAGGTTTGCATACTTTTTCAACAAGATTAAACCTCACAGCACCACTTGGTCATTCACATAGGTCGTTCATACTTTTTGGTTGTAACTGCCCTAATTCTTGGCACAGTTCAGTTGCCTTTGGTCAGCTTGCCAGTTATTGATGAAAGTGAACATGTAGGTTTTGTAACTTAGAGCAGGACATGATTAAGAATGAGACTATAGGCTTTTGAACTTGTAAGAGCAACAGTGACTTCTTAATTGGCTTTGTGTCCTTGGTGCTCGTTGGATGTTTTCACAGAAAACAAATCCTTACAGTTGAGCTCAATTGGGTTTACTGGATGCCAATTGGATGTGAAATGGAATGTCTGGAAAATCGTTTGATTTAAAAACTAAAATTTGAATGCACTGTGTGTTGTTGAATGTACTTTAATGAAAAGCAAACCTGGTGGTGAGTCCTCCATGAATGTATTTCATGCCCTTTCTTCCTCTATCTCCCTCTCTCTTTTTTTAAAAATTTGTTTATTAGCCCTAGAGGGCTTCCTTCTGTTTTCTTACTCCTGGTTCTGTGATGGCATTGAGAATTGACCACCAACATAGACCTATGGAGAAAAATATGTTCTTGTTAATACTTTTCGGGGTGTGAAGTGTCTGTTTGCAAATTTATTGCATGAATTAGTCAAATGTGCCACTTCCATTTTCCACACAAATACATCTGAGATGACAGTGTTACAGTGTTCATGAATTCAGCGGCAAAGATCAGTGAGCAAATTGGCAATCCAGCAAAAATTATATATAATAGCTCTTTCTCTGGCTAGCACCTGCAGCGCATCAGTTTTGGGCTTCTGGCATCTCCTCACCCAACCCTCCACTCCTGTTGCTGTCAGTTGCATTCGCCTTCCCTGCCTACTGCACAAAGTCCCAGATTATACATTTTACAGTTTTTTCTTCTTTAATTATGTGCCCATCTAAAATGTGAACAGTGGTATGAAATCAGCCATCAATAAAAACAAGAACACATCCTCATGATCTTGACAATGCCACAAATTAATTGAAAGTGATTAGTGATTATTTAGAATTCACTGACGTCTGGATCATGTCAAAAGGAAGTGAGATGTTTTAGGTGTTCAAGTAAAAATCCCAGTGGTATTCCAACCACCACTGAAGTTCTGTAGTATTTTGGGTTTTTGGTTTTGTTTTGTTTTTAATCTTCAGGGGGAAAAAAAATCAGGAGTCTGTTCAGGATGCATTTTCACAGTCTTCCTCCAGGAAGTTTAACTCTGTGCCCTGCACAGAAGAGTTACTCAAAAGGTTCTTCTTGAGTAACTGTTACAGGAAAAAGAAAGATCTCCACTTTTACATAAAGAGTTTTTTTTTTTTTGAAAAGTTGCTGACAACATTAAAGAAGATGTGACTAGACCCATTTTAGAGCACTTGAAAAGCCTCAGCCCACCTCTGACAGATCCCCCTTCACTGGCTTTCTAGCAGCTTGTGGGCTTTTTCTAGTACAAAGCACAGCACAGCTTCTACCTGTGGCATCAAAACGAATGGTGGTGCTATGTAGCCCCCCGCCCCCCGAACTAGGCTGGACAGGAAGGAATACTAAGTCTTGCTGTTGGAAACAAGGCAGGGTGGTAGGAGAAAAACCTAAATTGAGGCACTGAGTTTCTGCTGAGTCACTTATCCCAGGTGTTGAGTATATTCACGCATAACTTATCCCCAGCCCAGTCTTTGAATCCTGCCTACATGCAAAATGATTATCTTGAAAAATGTTTATGTTTAAATTAAAATTTCCTAGAGGGTGAGTTTGTGGGCAGGACTTATTTCCGTAAGATCCTGTGGTTATTTTGAGTGTTTGGCATTGATACCAACGCTCTGGAGATAAGAATTGTTCTATTTGACAAAAGGCCACGTTGCAGATGACACCTAGCTCATGAACAGAAAAGTCACGGCTGAATTACATTTATATAGCTATAATAAATCTTACATCTACTTTAAAATTGAGGATATGTGGGATAGCCTCCTGCAAACATCTGGTACCTTCTAAGCTTTTATAGACTATGAGAACCGGAGAGAGATTTTCAAAGGAGGTTGCCAGTGTGGGGAAACAAAGGTTGGTGAGACAAAAGGCAGGGATTCTATTTTATTCTATCTGACTTTTTATCTCTAAAATGTTATAGAATGTTTCTAACAGCAAGTGTCAAAGTGAGACCTTAAGGGGTTTTTGTCCCAATTATATAACCTAACTTTTTAAGCTATCCCAGTTAGTAAAGACCCTAATAATCATAGCATATTGATCCAGTTCACTATCTATCGTGAGGAAGCTAGATACATGCATTTCTTTGTCCTTAGGATATTTAATGTGGTTAAATTAATCATGATAAATTATGATAAAGTGTTAGAATAAAAGAACAGAATGCTAAATGTTTACTCAGCAAGGGGATTTAACCTAGTCTAGAAGGCCAGAGAAGCCCTACTTTGGTAAGTAGAGAATAAAATAGTAAATAAGATAGTATTAAATTAGCATTGTCAAACACAATTGATGTTGAATAACCACAGCATATATAATTATTACAGCACAGCCCTCAGATATCTTTAAGGTCTTGTGACAATTTCAATAGGCCTAGTATGATCTGTCTGTGGTTCTTAAATGCTCATTTGTTTTATTTTTGGCATTTTCTGTGATCTAGTATCACCACCTTCACCACCACTGCCACTGACTCGAACTGATGAGATTTGGAGGATTTGTATTATTTTTTCATCAGGAAAAGTTTGAGTTCCCTAATCTATAGCTACCTTCCAATGGGGAAAAAAACAAAAAGCCAGCAAAGCAACTTATATTTCTATGTTTAGGTCTTGGACACTCATAGTGCAGACAAATCAGTGGTATCAAACTTCCTGGGCTTCTTTCTTTTAAACTGGCCAATTATTAAGTCATCTCATAGCACAAAGACCAAAAACTAGCATGAGAGTATTAAACATGAAACCCAAAGTGGCCACTTTTTCTATGCAAGAGACCCTGAAGTGGGCAGTAGCCATCCATTCCCTCATTGATTCATTTACTCAACAGGTGTTTGCTGAGGGCCTACTAGAGACTGGCTTTAGTTTAAGTATGGAGATAGAACAGAGAACAGATAACAGATAAGTCTTCTGTTTGCTGAGCATAGTACTCAATATATGTTCTTTACTTCGAATAAATGGAAACAAGACAGACAAATGGATGGGAATGTGGTGCTCTATTTTATTTTGGAAGTCTATTCTTTTAATGGAAGTATGACTAATTCGATAACTTAAAAGTTACATGTCTCTGTTGTTAATGGACTCCATGAGTGCGGGGATGGCAGAAACAAATCAGATAATGAACCTGATTCTTTCATTGTGACAGCAGCTATCAAGTTGTAAATTAGAGCCAGCTGCAAGGAAACTGCGTTAGGTCAGTTGAATGACTAGTATCACATAATAAATGGTTACTTTGGTGCACAAATGACTTTTTTAGAACCTGCAAGAGTTGTTCATCTTCAATGTGATTTTTATATTCACAACTTTGTGTTTGGGGAAAATGTTGCTACATACGCCTTCTTTGATAATAGAAAATATTTACTTTTTTCCAGTAAAGAAGCTCAGATTTTCTTTTATAAAATGTACAGG